CCAGCTACTCAGGAGGCTGAGGCAGGAGAATGACGTAAACCCGGGAGGCGGAGCTTGCAGTGAGCTGAGATCCGGCCACTGCACTCCAGCCTGGGTGATAGAGCGAGACTCCATCTCAAAAAAAAAAAAAAAAGACTGTAAATACATAGGTGTGGTAAAATATTATAATGACTGTAAGAGCTGGCAGTTTTTGTAACAACAAAAAAAGACAGAGAGAGAGTGAGAGAAATATGACCAGGGGACACACTGCTATTCAATGATCAATAGATAATACTGGCTCCTCAGTTAAAAATGTAAGGGGCACTCTGAGATAGGTCCTTCAAGCTACCATTCAAAAATATCAAGTTGTGCTTGTTGATAATTTTGGCTGATATATCCTTTGATTCAATAAGGCTACTTATTCTGGATCTACTGGTTGAAAACTCTGGTCTTTTCTAGGTGCATGGGTTCCAGCAGTACTTGAGATAAAATAGTGATCTCAAATAGTGGTTCTTTGCTAACTCATGCCAAGCTGGCCCTCCTGCCAAGGCAAGCAGGGTAGGCCATGGCAATAGTATCAGTTAGAGACCAGGTGTCATGGCTCACGACTATAATCCCAGCACTCTGGAAAGCCAAGATGGGTGGATCACTTGAGCCCAGGAGTTCAAGACCAGTCCGGGCAACATGGCAAAACCCCGTCTCTACAAAAAATACAAAAATAGTCGGGCATGCTGGCTGTAGTCCCAGCTACTTGGGAGCTGAAGTGGGAGGAGAATGTGATTGGCCCGTCTTGAGTTATGAACCTGACACTTGACTAAGGGAAGGCAGTTTTCCCAGACTATAGCGTCACTCAAATATATTGCATGGGAAGATGACTCCACAATAAAAAGAAACTGGGGGCTGGGCGCAGTGGCTCACGCCTGTAGTCCCAGCACTTTGGGAGGCCAAGGCAGGTGGATCACCTGAGGCCAGGAGTTCGAGACCAGCCTGACCAACATGGAGAAACCCCGTCTCTACTAAAAATACAAAATTAGCCGGGTGTGGTGGCACACGCCTATAATCCCAGCTACTCGGGAGGCTGAGGCACTTGAACCCAGGAGGCAGAGGTTGTGGTGAGCCAAGACTGCACCATTGCACTCCATGCCTGGAAAACAAGAGTGAAGCTCTGTCTCAAAAAAGAAAAAGAAAAAGAAACAAACAACAACAACAAAAAAGAAACTGGGTGCTGTTTAGAGTGTTGGCTAGAAAACTAATATGCAGTCATAGCAACCTATAACACAACCATCTTTTTTTTTTCCTTTTTTGAGCAGGGGCTCACCCTGTTGCTCACGTTGGAGTACAGTGGTGCAATAATAGCTCACTGCAGCCTTGACCTCCCAGTGATCCTCCTGCTTCAGCCTCTCAAGTAGCTGGGATTACAGGCGTTAGCCACCATGCCTGGCTAATTTTCGTATTTTTTTTAGAGACAAGGTTTTACCATGTTGCCCAAGCTGGTCTCAAACTCCTGAGTTCAAGTGATCTGCCCACCTTAGCCTCTCAAAGTGCTGGGATTACAGGCATGAGCCACCATGCCTAGCCAACACAACCATCTTTAAAACAGGTGGCAAAAGGTGGTTTGATAATCCCTAAAGAAATATGACCAGGTGAAGGCCAGGCACGGTGGCTCATGCCTGTAATCCCAGCACTTTGGGAGGCCAAAGTGGGCAGATCACGAGGTCAGGAGTTCAAGACCAGCCTGACCAACATGAAGAAACCCTGTCTCTACTCAAAATACAAAAATTAGCCAGGTGTGGTGGCACATGCCTATAATCCCAGCTACTCAGGAGGCTGAGGCAGGAGAATTGCTTGAACCTGGGAGGCAGAGGTTCCTGTGAGCTGAGA